AAATAGCGCAATTTTATAATTTTAAAAATCCATTCTATGTTTGCGTATGTATGATGATTGGTTCCCCACTTTTTGAAACTCACAAAAACTCGTTTCCACTTCTACGCTTGAAACTGGTTACGTTGCTGTGCGATTTGTTCAACTCGATTAAAGGCAACTCATAGTTGGCCGATTAAACCAAAAATTAAAAACAAACTGTATTTTCAATAATCCTTAACGATTTCAGTGGAAAATGAGAACGTTATCTGGGAGCCACATCCGATTTTTGGTTACGTTGAAACTATTTGCATCATCTGGTTCACGGTTGAGTTTGTTGTTCGTCTCGCTGTTACTCCGAACAGGTACCCTGACATAATTACAGGATAATTGAACCATTTTATGTTTTTTAGATTCCAATTCTTGGTGGGGATCATGAACATTGTTGATATGATCGCCATTATTCCATTTTATCTCGAGTTGGGTCTCGCATTGTTTGGAATTGATGTTGCTAGTCTTAGTGATATCAAGGGAGCATTATTGGTGGTCCGAGTACTCCGTGTTCTTCGTGTCGTTAGAATTTTGAAGCTCGGACGGTGAGATAAAGAGTTTGTGGTTTACGTCTTTTACATTATGGTTCTTAGGTACTCATCTGGAATGCGTACATTCGCGTTGACCCTGAAAAGTTCTGCTCGTCAGTTGGGGATGATGGGAATGGTTCTTTCCACTGGAGTTGTCTTCTTCTCCACTCTTCTCTATTTCGTTGAGAAAGACGAAAAAGATACTCCATTTACTTCTATCCCAGCTGCGTTCTGGTGGGCAATTGTGACAATGACTACTGTGGGATACGGTGACTATGTGCCCGTGACAGTTCGTAAGTGTCCAAAAAACTTGCGATTAAAAAAATACGTATCTGAGTGATTTTCAGCTGGAAAGCTAATTGCAAGCGGTGCCATCATTAGTGGAGTCTTGGTATTGGCTCTTCCTATCACTATCATTGTTGATAACTTTATGAAAGTGTCCGGAAAGTGAGTTGAAGCAAAAACCAACCAATTTAGGTAGCTTTCTTATTAACACAATAGTTAGCGATTACTGATCTGCACAATCGAAATTCAACTAAACTTACTCATCCTCCTTTTCAGTATTGACAGTCAAGAGTAAAAGTGGTAAAAGTGTTATATCCTATATAATAACTATATGTTAATCCTGTTTGTACATTTCCCTCTCGAAACCAAAACACAATCAGCGTAAGTGGATACATGGAATATTTTATAAATGTCTTTTTCTTAATATATTTCTTCTCTTCCTTTTGCCTATCCCTAGCACAACAATAACCCATCACGTTTATTTCGCTTCGAACACTTCCAATTCGGCTATCTGTCTCTCTTTTCTATCAAAAAGTTCATTTCCACCCTATCCGCACGGCTTTGTTATAGAAATCATAACCTTACAAAAGCCATCCAATGTCCTACTCACACAAACCACATCTCCTCAAGTCTGGGAAATAATTGGAAAAAAGAGTTACATGTGTTTTTTTTATTGAAAATCTGATTATTCCCCAGAAATGCTTCTTTCTTCATATTGTCCCAACCAAACTATTTTTTGGTTTATTCAGTTTTTAAATTAAAACAAATATTACAGTGTGAATGCCAACATCTTCTCATCTGCAAACCAACGACCCATTGATGTTCCGGAATGATTCAATTGCGGTTCCCATTACAAATTCTAAAATACTACCATACAATCTGTATTAGAAGAATCTATTTTTTCAAAGGTTACTGTAGCCCCTTTGGAGAGATCTCGAAGTGCTTGTCGAATACAGATTTTACGGTCTTAAAACCTTGATATATATATCTCCTCAATGATTCAAAAATAGTAATAATAAAAATAATGATAATTCCACCCACATGACCACATTTTTTGAAAAGTTTCATTTTTATTTCTTCCCTGAGATTTCCTAAATTTTCTTTTCCTCCAATCTGATTGAATTTCACTATTTTTCTGTAGCAACGGTTTCATTTTTTCTCACATTATGTAATAACTAATTTTCTGTCTCAAAGCCCTCTACCGGAACATTTTTCATACTAATAACTTTCTTGGAATCTGAAATTTTCCAGAATAAAACTAATTTTTTGAAAAGAAATGTTCGTATTTTCAAAAAAGAGGTTGAACTTTTAGGTTTGTTTACGAAGTTTGAATATCCAAAGAGAAAAAAATTCTTCGGGATATCCCGTCTGTTGTTGATAGAAAGAAGAACACACCAGAGATGAAGACATGTGACTAGAAATTTATCCAGTCTGTTAGTCATCATCAGCCCCATCCTAAAAAATCTCTCCTTACTTACTTTTCAACCCCTCTCGGGAGACGGTTTTCCACCTATATTTTCCTGGCGTTAAACATTCAAAAAGCAACGAGAGCAAGTAGTGCGCGATGGAAGCCCCCGCGCTGTAATGCAAACATACTAAAAAAAAAGAAGAGATAACGAGTTGAGTTGAGTCGATGGATTTCGAGGCCTTTTACCTACTTGAAGTTTTCCCGGGATCACTCTCTTCTACACGTTGTGTCTTGCCGCCGCCACGGGCTACCGAAACTCTATTTCGATAGAGAGGAAAAGGATTTTTTTTTCGGGCTTGCAGAGAACAAAGTAACAATGGCAAAAATACCATCATAGAAATTTCAGAAGGAAACTTTAAGGTAGCGAGTCTCTCTTTCACGGGTCCGTTGATATTCAGCATTTTATCCAGTCCTGTAAAGATAGACATTGTCGCGAACGAATTCAAAGCGAAGAAAGTACCAAAGGAGTCTTGCATTAACTTGTCTATGATGAACATCATTGGCCGCGGCAACTTCGGAATTTTGTAGAATCTGGAAAATTCTAATTTTATCAATCTCCTCCTTCTAATCCCCGACTCATTGATCAAATAAAAAAAGCGTATTACTAGTTTTTGAATCCACGCAAAAACTTCCGATTGTTAAGAGATAAGATAATTGACAACGCATCTTTTCTTCTCCGCGCTATCCTCCACCTTTCCAGGTTTGCTCATCGTTTTCGATGGTGGGTGGTTTTGGAAAGGAGAGAGCGCGAAAAAAGAAACAAAGAAAAGAGAAAAAATCTGGGGAAGGCTCTTCAAGCAAAAGTGCGCGGCACTACTGTCTGGTGGGATCTCCGCGATCCGCACACTGTCTTGTCAACAGATCAACTCACGTACAGGTATCCGCCCACGTCGTGGAAACACTATTAGACCCAACCCACCGCTGGGCGCTTCATCTGCCGATCAGTTTGACAGTCGTCTGACTCCATCGTCGTACCGCACTTTTCAATTTTCATTTTTCCGTCAACATGGGTGAGGAGGTGAGTTATTCTTTTTTTTTTGTTTTGATGCATGAAGGTTTTATCCTAGTTGTAAATTTAGCGTTTATGCCACGTTCGTCTTTTTAGCCTCAAATTGGAAGTCTGAAATTCTTCAGAATTTCTTGAAGTTGACTAGTAGGTTGTATGCTATTGAATGTTCACTAATTTGCATTTGTAGGAAATACCCTGCGGTAGTTTGATTTTTTTTTCTGGAAAACTTAAATTCACATTTTATGTTCATCAGTTTTTTTTCTGAAATTATCTGAAAAATCATAGTCCTCAGTTTAGAAGCTTTCAAAAGTTCATCTTCGATTTTCTGCCTTACTTGACTTGGTAAAAGAGGAAACTCTACGAAAGTTAGAACGGAATGGATTGTGCAATGTTTGCTTGGATGCGTTTTTTGAGCCTGCGAGGTACTTCAAATCCTAGCTATGTTTGCAAGCGAATAGAAAAAAGATAAAGAATAATTTGTTGCGGCCCCTAAGAAAATTTCTAAAGAGAAAACAATTCGAACGCGAGAAAGTGAAGGAAAGCAAACAGTTTGACAGTTCGCTTTCATTAATGATGACTACTCTCATCAATAAAAGAAAAAAAAACAAGAGAACTTATCAATTTCAGGATTGGTCCGAGACTCAACAACAGCCACGCAAGAGATGGACTCTCGAGCAACTCAAGGGTGGAAACACCTTCCTGTCCCAACAATCTGGAACCAACAAATTCGAGACACAAAAGGGAATGACTGCTCCGGGTATGCCAAGATGGAACATCACCAAGGATAAGAAGCAAGGATACATCGCCCCAGACCAGAGATCTGAGAACGTTCTCCGTGTGCAATGCGGAACCAACCAATACGCATCCCAGAAGGGAGAGACTCCAATTGGAGCTTCCCGCTTCCAGGTCCCAAAGATCGCCTACAAGAAGGAATGGGAGACTATTCTTGATAAGGAGGGAGAGAAGCTCATTCCAAAGCAAGCCGGAGATTACGGACTTGCTTCCCAAGCCGGAGAAGTCAGCATGGGAGGACACAGAAACCAAGTTGCTCTCATCCGTGGACGTCTTCCACACGATCGTCGTACTCACGGAGTTCTTTGCTTCCAGAATGGTGAGAAAAATAAGTAGGAGAACTAAATTCACAATTTATGTTTTTAGGAACCAACTTGTTCGCTTCCCAAACCGGAATGTCCGCTCCACCAGGACTCGGAGCCGTCCGTCAAGCTACCCAGAAGATCGAGGGACTCGAGCTTGGAGAAGACGTTCTCCGACGAGGAACCGAATTCACCCCATGGTACTCTGGCCAGAACAAGTTCGCCACCCAAGCCGGGTCCGGAGGTTTCCTTAAGGTCCGTGACGTTCTTCCACACACCGTCGGAGGAAAAGACATCGAGGAGGATCTCAAGCAGAAGTCCGAGGGAATCGTTCCACTTCAATCTGGAACCAACAAGTTGGCTTCTCAACGTGGAATGACCGGATTCGGAACCCCAAGAAACACCATGCTCCGAGCTGGATGGAAGAAGGAATGGTAAGATTCTAAATTTTAAGGCAAGATGGACACTTTGATATTTTCAGGATCGAGGATTACGAGGCTGCTCTCAAGGAGTGGGAAGAGACCAAGCCACCAGGCAGCGCTTCTTCTGTCGACCCATTCGGTCACTACAAGAAGAAGTTCGAGGAGCGCGAGTCTTCCCGCCAATCGGAGATCGATGCTCAATCGGTCAAGGCTAACGAGCCGGTCGAGCCAGAGCCAGAAGAGGAAGAGGAGGAAGAAGAGGAGGAGAAAGTAACGATATCAGATATTAGTAGATGGATTTGTTAATGAATGAATTCAGATCGAGGAGCCAGCCGCTAAGGAAGAGGAAGAAGAAGAGGAGGAGGAAGAGGAAGAGGTGGAAGAGGAGGAGGAGGAGCTCGAGGTACAAATTTCAATTGTTTTTTTTTTGAGTTTTTAAATCGTTGATTTATTCCAGGAGGAAGAGGAGGAAGAAGAGGAGGAAGACGAGTAGATCATCGTTTGACCAAACACATAAAACACTTCACAACTGACTGCTGACGACGGAATAACGATAAATTGAATCAATTCTAACACCCCCGCGCCCCAAAAACCACCCCCTATCTAACATCTGTTGTTTACCTTTTTTTCATTCTTTCCCATTTCTCTTTTTTATATTCTGCCTTTTTTCTTTAACGCAATTGCACAGTTAGTCCAAAAAAATTACAGATACTTTCAAGACTTTTTGCTCTAACGGATTTTGCTGTCTATCTTTTTCTGATGTATAGCTGCCCAACACATTATCAAATGATTCTTTCTGAATAAATGATTTTTGTAATTGAAGATAATACAAGATGTCAGTTATTGAAAGTTTTATACACATACGAAAACGTAGTTTTCAGTTCAGAGGCCATATTCATTAACATTTTCCTTTCAAAAATCAACTGGATTATTTTCCAAAAGGAAAATGGAAGCGTGAAAATGTACTGAACATTATTCAAGTGATTTTCTGACTTGCAGGGTCGGAAAATGACTTTCGAACTAAATTTTCTCAAAAAATATGGACTGAAAATCTTTCAAATTTGGTCAGAATATTTAAAATTCCTAGCTATTCCATTCATTCATGCCCATTCATGCCATTTGTGTCAAAAAAAGCACAGTTTTCAAGTTGAATATCATTAATTTTTGGGTTAAAAATTAGATAATAATGTATCTCATGCCCTCCTCTTAGCCAAGTTGGCAAATTTTGGTGTTCAACCCCTCTTCATCTCCTGGTTCCAAGACTTCCTCACTAACCGCTCCTTTTCTGTCAAAATTAACCATTTCATCGAACCTCTTTCTCACCCTATCCCCTCTGGCGTTCCCCAAGGCACTGTAGCCGGTCCCCTACTCTTCATCATATTTATTAACGATCTTCTCCTTTCCCTTCCCTCCAACTTACATTTTTCCTGTTTTGCTGACGATATCAAAATATTCTCCCACGATCTTTCCTCCATTCAATCAGGTATTGACCATATTGGTGCCTGGGCCAAATCTAACCTTCTTCCTCTGGCTCATGCCAAAACTGCTCTTCTCCGGCTTGGCCCAAACAACCCCTCTCATCCCTATACAATTGATGGCCTCCCCATTACAGCATCCTCCCCCATCCGTGATCTGGTTTATTAACAGATTCCAACCTCAAATTCTCAGATCATATCAATCGTGTCTCCTCCCTTGCCCTTCTCCGGTGTAAACAACTCCTTAAATCCTTTAACTCCAAATCCCTCTAATTCCACCTTGCCCTTTTCAATTGCTACGTCTTGCCAATTCTTGAATATTGCTCGGTCATATTTTCCCCCCATCCCAATTCCAAACTGTCTAAAAAACTTGAGTCCCCCCTTCGTTTATCCTCCAAAACTATTTTCCAACGTTGCAATATACCATTTTCGTCTACCCCCGGTGCCTCTTATCCTTCCAGACTCCAAATTCTCAATTTTTTTTTCTTTGCGTCATAGACGCCTTAAATCTCAGTTAATGCTTCTGTACAAAATAACTAACCTTACTTCTTACATTCCCCACCCAGAATCTCATTTCCGCTTATCTAACTCTGCCCGTCGCCCCATGACTTTAATTTGCCTCAATCACCATATCAATGATTTTTTTGCATCCACCATCCCATTTTGGAATGCCATAACTGCCAATGTACCCCAATTCCTCACCCCGTTCCAATTGGAAAATCTCCTTGATTCTTCTATTTCTCGCTACTAGCTATTATCCTTATTTTTAACACATGTATTTTACTGTATATAATTCCTCCCTCTTCCATTATATTTCTCTTTTTAACTTATTAGGCGCTCCTCATGAGGGGGGGGGGGCTGCCTTTTTCTTATGTACTGTTGGTCACCGCTCTGAAAACAAATAAATCTAAAATCTAAAATAACGCACTTAATATACTATACTCTTGTCGGATTTAAAAAAGTGACACCTAAAAATCTCGGAGACGGCGCTCGAGTCGATTTACGAAGGGGGCGGAGCGAAAACGGATACTGTAGATAACAAATTTATTTATGTGAATTTAGTGGGATTTTCTGAACAAAATTTTGATTCCTTGGTATAAAAATGATCGCCAGCATCTCTAGAATCTATTTTTCAGCAAAAAACTAAAGTTAAACGCGGAAGTAGCTCGAACGAGCCAAAATTCTGAAATATTACGTTTTTGCCGCACTTTTTCGTAGATCAAAAAAAGTATAAGTTTTAAAATTCTCAGGTGTCACTTTTTTTTTAATTCGACAATATCAACATACAACTTTTTTAGAATTCAGAAATTCTTTAAATTAGCTGTAAACACAAATCGAGATAAGTATACCTGTTTCATGAAAATATAAGGATTTTCCAAAAGGAAAACGATTTTCCTTCAATTTTCACGCCTTTTCAGTTGAGTTTTTGAAAGAAAACGATTTTCCAAGGGAAATGTTCATGAATATGGCCTCAGTTTCAGAGTATATAATCATTTTTAAAAGTATTAAACCTGGCTATCAATTTTCCGACCACTTTCTTTGAAGATTTTCAGTTTTACAGTTTTCCCCCAATTTTTGGAATACAGCCGCTTTTTTCACGTTTACATTATAGAAGTGAGTCGGAAGGGGATGTCCTTCCAAGGTCAGCAAACAGCTGAAAAACTAAGGATTTTCAAAAAATACAGCTTATGCAAAGTTTTGAATCTAGTTTTGTTTTTCAACCTCTAAAATTTTCAAAATGATCGGACACTTGGCAGCCGAACTCTAGACTCCTGAAAATGGTCAAAATCAAATGAAAAACACGTTTTTGTTCATCTTATTGGCCGGTACTATGCCTACTCTGAAACATTGTTCTTTTCGACACGAAATTTCAGCCAGTATTGCAAATAAATATTTTGGTTTTTTTGTGTCAAAAGTCCCAAAAATAATGATTACGGTTTTTTTAGAAACAAATAAATTTTTTTTTCGAAGGATGTTTTCTGCTCACTAGGGAACTATCTGAGCATGATTCCAAGTTACAATTCATGACCTTTTTCATCAGAAAGCCCATAAAATTCTGATTCGGAATATGTTCTCCGTTTTTGCAAAACGGCCGTGAGGTTCGAGAAAATTTGGTCGAGAATTTTAATACTGAAATCTATTCAAAATCGACTCGAGGCAAGTGATAGATTTATTTCAAATTCAAAAATCCAACCACAACCTGAAAATCAACTGAAAATTATCTTTTGATCTAATTTTCTCGAAGATCACCGCCGTTTTGCAAAAACAGAAAATATATTCCGAATCAGATTTTTATGGGCTTTCTAATGATATAGGTCATGAATTGTGATTCGGTGTCATGCTCAGATAGTTCCCTAATCAGCCGTGGTATTACTGAAAATCTGATAAAAAACAATGAATTAGTAAAAGCTTACGATTTAAGAAAGGCAAAACCAAGTTTTTTGCAAGTTGTTCTTTATTACACTCGCATCGTCAAGAAATTTTGTTTTAACAAAAAATCATCTACAGATAGAACCGGATAGACAACAAGGAATGTAACAAATGCACAACTCTTCTGACTTGACAACGTCGAATCACAAGCTTTTTGTGAACTTTTTTTGGGAATTATTGCAACGTGTATTCTCAGTTTTTAGCACAGAAAAAAGCAAAAACGGAGACAGGCATTTTACAAAGAAAGTAAAAAATAAATAGATATACAAATTTCGACTAGCCTATAACTAAAAATTGCAGAGTTTTTTTTTTGGTTCAATTTGAGGTTGAAAGGGGACAAGGAATGACAGAAAACCAAGGCAAATAAATAAACTAGCGGAAGCGCGAAACCAATAAATTAAAGCAAAACAATCAGCATTTTAGGATGACAGTCAGAATTGATTGGTACATGTAACTGTTGAAGGGGAGTAAATATTCTGGGAGACATAAAATAAATTAAATAGATCACACATTATATTTGGTGTGTCTGGCGTTTTGGTCTGATGGATAAACTGAATATTGGAGAAAAAGGCATGGAAGAGTTATGAGCACGTAGCACAGCTAGAACTTGTTCAAAACTTATCAACTTATTAAAACGGCAGTAGTTATTACGCTTCTTAAGGAAACCGGACAAATGAGTTGGGGCACGAAAAAATCTAAGAAAAAAGACAATTAGAAAAAGAAAAAAAGCAAGAAGTGAGTTTTTTTTAGTTAGTTAGCTTTCAAATTGGGCCATATCTCATCGTTTCGTCAATCGTCGATTCTTTCCGGTACCCCGCAGTATGTCATATGTCACGTGGCTTATTCAAATCACGCAAGTTTGTCAAGAACTTGTCAGGTGTGATTATCCGATCGGAACCAATAATGACTTCCCATGGTTTCCGGGCAGCAGTCACTTCGTAGGCTGCTCGCATCTCGGAGAAGGTGACACCTCCGATGATGAAGATGATCAGTCGTGGACCACTACGGTAGTTGGATTGTTGTCCGCGTTCCTTGTGCCATTGACCGTAACGAGCGGATGCTGGGGCTCTGTAAGAATTATAGTTGGAATTCTGAAGCCGGATTAATGAGAAATAATTGCTCTGCAACGCGCTGGAATTGACGATTTGCTATGATTTTGCACTAATCACATTTTGATTACTTATGTTTATGTTTTTTCCCAATAATTTTGAATTTGCAAACAATTGTGTTTTGGAATATACAGAAATTTTAATATTTCTGTAATATGCATTACGCACCACCCGTCCGTTGATTTTAATGTTATAAAGCTTCAGCGATCCCATATGCATAAAATCTTGTTTGACGATAAGTATAAAACGGTTTTTCCCCAAAAATATTTTCAAGGGTATGACCATTTGAGAGTACAATGGAGTACAAGTCGATTGATGGGTACAACATCTACAATTCGAAGCTACAAAATTTTAAAGGTGTCGTAAAACCTCTAATAGGAGGGTTCCCTAACATTCAACTTTGAGCCGATTTATCTAGATTCCTGCCAAAGATATCAAAAAGTTGTCAACTGACAAATTGTTTATCATAATATTGCAAACATTTTGTTAGTTAACACGTTTTTGATACCTTTTATAAGAGCCGAAATAATTAAGCTCAAAATTGACAGTGTGGGGGCCCTTCTATTACAGGTTTTACGGTACTTTGTACCTCGAGTTGAGTATTCATGAATCGGTTTGATTTTAATGATCCCAAATTTTTTGTACCCCCCGAATCATTTTCCGTCTTTCAAATCCGTTAGATTTCTTTATAGTGATACAAAAAATACTAATTGCAAAATGCAACTTTTGTAAATCAATTATCATGTGATCAAAAATGAAGGTGCGCGACACCTACGGTAGTTAAGCGAAGAGGGGGCGGAATTGTTGGTGCGATTGTCTGGGATCTAATTTTGGAATTATCCATACTAAAATAAATCTTAATTTTTAAAACTTTTCAGACTTGGTGCAGAATGTCCAGATGAAACGGCAAAAGTATAAAAAATCTTATGGTACTTTCTAAAATCTTTTGATTATGATCTACAGCTGTATAAATACCTGTATCCCTGATTGACTTGTCTTCCAGCAAGGAATGGGAAATGCTTTGTATCCAAACGCTCATCGATAGCATCCTCGATAATATCCTTGATGACCGGGACCCATCGAGACGACTGATAAACCTGCTCGTGTGGTCGCTCCTTCTTTGTAGGCGTCCAGGTCTTCTTACGGCCGGTCTGGAAAATGTATTTGTAGCGATTATTTCGAAATGGCTTAAGACTCAACGACTAATAAGATGGCTCAACAATTCGGGGGTGCAACGGGGTACAACACAATTCAGAGGTAAAAAACACCCAATTAGAAAATACTAATTTTCACGTATTTTGTACCCCCGAATTGAGGATTTTATGCGCTGGGTGGGGTTGTACCCAATGCCGCAAAAATTAGTGCACCCTCCAATTTTTTTCTCAAATGTGCTGCCATGCAATTTGAAAACTAAACTCACATCAGTAACAATATTCAGTCCAAGATAGGCAGCATTGGTGATGGTTTCCTTATCAGCCATTGAGATATTTGCATGTTGCAAGAGTTTGTTCAAGTTCTCGTCAGTGATTCCATTCTTAGAGATGATGTAAAGAAGGATCAATCGAAGACGGTCCTCGCATCTCACGGCTGGGTCGATCAAGAGTGGGACCATCAGTTTCATTGCATCTCTCACTCGCTCTCCTTCCGCATCTGATCCAGTACTCAAGTCCTGTTCAACCTTACACAACTTATCAACTCCTTGTTGGTACTGCTTCATGCACTCCTCTGCCAAACTGATGTGGGTACTGAACTTGTTCAATTCCTTCTTGTGCTGTGGCATTTTCTTGATGAGCATCGACAAATCCTTGATCGATTTGGAGTCCATGTTTCCCTTGTTTCCCTTGCTTTCACTGAATTTCTTCAAGTTCTTCGTGACTTCTTGCGAAACAACGGCAATATGTCTATGCCTCATTTCCACCCACAACTCGTCGTTCTCATCGAGCAACACCTGCAAATGGGGTAAATGTGTCAGCGCGAAGCATGTTTTTCCGACGGAGTTTTACTATAATTGCATGTTTCCGGGACAACAAGAACTCACCTCTTTTTCCAAGTTCTCACTACCTCCTGTCTCGTACTTGTAGACGTCATTCTCGATACCAAGAAGATCGTAGCACATTGCTTGAAGAGTGAGCTCGTGGAGAAGCGGAGTGATGGCGTCGTATCCTCTGTCAATGATGATGAGTTGACTGCGTGCCTTGTCAGCTCCTTCTCCCATTGACGGGTCGTCAGCCTTGTAGGCGTCCAGCTTCTGCTCAACAAGATGTCCAAGCTCGACATTTCTCTCAAAGTCCGCACGATATCTGAAATCATTATTTTTGAGATTGTTAAGACTCAATTATTCAGCGTACCTCAGAGATGGATATTCTCCAAGGGTGGCGCAAACAGTGGCAATCTGTTCGGCAATTCTCTCGAGATTTGATGATAATCCACCTTGCTTTTGAGCGTTATAATACAGGAAAAAAGTATCCGGAGAGTCCAAATTGAAAACCTTAAAAACGTGTTTTTTTGTAGACATATTCTTATCAAGATTCATGAATTACCTGACTTTCATAAGGTGTGAATGCAATATTAATCTCTTTCAGTGTTTTGATAAATCTTGCAGCTGCACTTTTGGACAAAGTCGAAAATAGTTGATCCGAACAAGCTTCAGTGAAAAACACATGAGCACATTTGTACTGATTCCTCACGCAATAGTCTTGAATCAGTTTATCCACCTTGAAAAAAAAGATGAATGAAGATATATGGGAAAGATTAAGAAGCGACTCACAGACTCGGCGGTTGGTGCAATCAGATAAATGGCTTCGAGTGTCGGCAAAGGCTCTCGTCTTTTGTTCAAATCTTCCACAATCGTAATTCCTTCTGGAAAAAAAGAGGAATAGATTGGCCTTTTGAGATAAGAGAGAGTCAAACGAACCTTCCATAATATTATGCATTTTACAACATGAGGAAAGCATACGCATCGCGAGAGTATCCACAATCAAAACATTCCAGGCACCACGGCCTTCTGCCTTTTTTAATGGTCGGATCACATCGTTGAGCAATTCTGAAATTTTAAGAAATGATCACTTGATCGAAATTTGAATTTTTAAATTTTAACTTACTATGCCCAACGATTTGTTTGAGTGACATCACTCAAAAAATTTAGTTGGTGGACTCACGGTTTACCTGCAAAAACAGAACAATTAGATTTGGTTCGAGTTGAACGGAGAATAAAGCTAAAAGAATAGTCCCAAGGAAAAAAGAGAGAACAAGAGACATGAGGGGCGAATGTTGCAAAAACGGAGTGGGTCCATAAAAGAAGCAGTAAATAGAGGAGACCATCTGCTCCATTCAGGTTGAGAGAATATGCATCGTCTTCTACTTCTTCTTCTTCTCGGGAGGTCTCAAGACACACATGCACCCTTTCTTCTTCTCTCCTTCTCGGGAACGAAGCAAAAAGAGGAATAGAAGAAAAAGAAGACTAGGGATGAAGACTACAAAGCAGTTCTGAACTGAAGGGATGCTACATCGAAGAGATAGGGGAAAATTTGTATGTCCCTCTTTCCTCTCTCTCTCTCTTTGTTTGTGTGTTGGCAAGCAATTTAGGACTGGTCAGGGACAAAGAGCACATAGAAAATCGATATTTTGTAAGCGAAAAGTGAGACTTTCCTTTTTTTTTGGTGACTGAAAAAGAGAAAAAAAGAGAGTGTGTTGCCGAGTGGATTTGTGCTGTGCGCCAAATAGGCTTTTCAAAAGTAGAAGTGTCGCAATTTTGGCTAGAGAGGGGAAGGTCGAGTCTTGAAGAATGTTGAAAAAAATGAGAGAGAAAAGAAAAGATGATGCATGCGCTTCTACTTTTTTTTTTCTTATTTTTTCCCTTCTCTCATCTTCTCAGAATGTTTTTTGGTGGGCTGGGATGAGTTTCTTTTTGGTTAGTCAAAGCTTTTAGCGTTTTCCAAAAATGAAAACTATTTTGAAAAATAGAATTTTCAGGAAAAACCGTTTTAAAATGATTTTCAATGGCTTTCCTTGCTCTTACCAAATGAATTAGATTCTAAAAAACATTTATTTCAACCACACAAAATGGAGAAATGCTTTTTGGACCAGATTTCCAAAGAAAATAGCGAAAAAATGAGAAAACCCACGAAAATCGTTGATAAGAACAACAATAAACAGATACAATGTAACATAACGGATTATAGTGTGTGTGCAACCACAGAGAGAACTGTATTGCGTACAATACGCGATGAATGACGACAAACAGTCCGCTTGGTCTCTTTCTCGAGGTCGACAGGATTAACGGACGGGATTGTACGTTATTCTCAGATTTGGTGGCAGATGGTTTTGGTTCAAACGCATATAATTGGGGAACCCAGAATATGAAGAAAAAGAGAGGTGCTGTGGACAATGAATTGCGTTTTTTAAGATTTTGATTTTTACAGAGGTAAAATCAGTTTTGAAAGAAAAAACAAAAGTTTAGGAAAATCGAATAAAATTTTGTGCTTATAGACTGTGTTAGTGACTTTTTAGAGTGTTAAGTGATGACTCACTAACACAGAAAATATAGACACATTGGCTTGCACACACATTGGTTCCAAACCGAATATATTGCGAAATTATGACGCGTCGCCGCAGGTGATCGGCGACCGTTTTTTTTTCTTTCTCTCTCGCAACGCACATCGAGAAATATATGGAAAACGAAGCGTTGTTTAGAGCTCAAATGCTCATTGAATACCGAAAATCTGGGCGGGACCATTGAGGAAAGAGAAGAATTCAAATGTTCCGATAGAATACATTAGTTGGTATGGATGCGAAACGGGGGAAGAAGACGACAATAATAATGGAAGCGGGGACGATTTGTGACAGTGATGGATGGGACTCCAAATCTGGTTAGGAAACTAAATGGGACGGGTGTCAGGAAAACAATGGGAATCAGATAGTGATAATTATGAAATAAACAAGGCAATAGATCATATTGGAAAAAAAACATTAGTTGATGTTGGAAATGTGGAAAGGGTTCTCAGAAATTATAAAAGAGTTTTGTGAGGTTAAAAACTCGGAAAATTAATTTTCGGTGGAATAATTCAACTTACGGAATATAAAAAGTTAAATATCACGATTTTTAGGGCAGAAGTTGAAAAATTAGATGTTAACATACGATTTTTTGAAAAGTATTGACTTCCAGAGTTTCTGATTTCTTCGGTTTTATTAGTATCACAAATTCGTTTCAGCATAAACATAATTTCAGTCCAAAATTGAAAAAGAAAAACAAGGTTTGTAGCTGGGTAAGTAAATCTGTTAAAATTAGGGAACAATACAAATCTCAGTATTTTAAAAAAATCTATCGACCTTCCATTCAACTATCTGGTACTTCATTTTTTGAGAATTCTAATTTTCATGTACCGACGATCAAATTTCAAAACACGAGTCACCATTATCTGTTTATCTCTCTAATTCTTATTTCGAAATTTTCATCTTTTTGCTGTTCCGTCGCCTTCACCCAGTCCGGCATCTTTTATGTTGTAATGTGTGTATTACACCGCTTCCGATGAGAAAAGATAGAGGAGATTGGAGCTCCGAAGAGCCTCAAAGTTGACTTGTGTGTATGTGCGGTGGCACATTTTTAGTCCCTTCAGTTCATTGTCCTACTAAATATTGCTTAATCTATTTGGGAAGTATCCGATGTCGGTTACGAAATCCCATCATAACCTAGATGTGGTGAGTGGTGGTAATAAAATGTGTTGAAATAAGAATAAAAGCAGTTCTTGAGGTCGAAGTGTTGTAGTATTACTACAGTAGTGAATGAAAGTGAAAATGAATTCAACTGTTGCAAAATAAGATTTTATATAAAACCCTGAAATATCTCACGCGATCTATTTTACTGTGAATGCTTTGATAGAAACTCAATGCGTGCACTTGAAGCTCAATTATCCCGCTTCCTTTAAAAGATATCAAAATTTTGTCTACCGATAGACCGTTTTTTGTCAAATGATCAACATTTTATCAGTTAATAAATTTTTCATATCTTTTGAAAGCACCGAGATAATTGAGCTCAAAATGTACTTATTAGGTGGACTTCTATTGCAGCATGTACGGCATAGGTACTAAACTTGAAAAACAAGAATTTTCAAATAAAAAAATTATTTATTAAAACAAATAATTATACTTTAGGTGCATCATGGAATAGTGCTAATCAGCGACGAGACCTCCACCTCACGATCGTCAAGACTACTTTTGTCAAAAGGTGAAAATAAAGAAAAACGAGCCAAAAAAGAAACCATAAATTTTTGAGTGAAAGCATTTTTCACTTTTCTCATGGGACCCATAAAAATTGCGCATTTTCACCACAACGTTCTGGAAAAGAAAGTGAAGAGAAAATTTTCTGGCGAGAGAAAAAAGAAAATAAAACGAAATAGAAGAGTGGAACCGTGACAGGATGCCCGTAGAACTCCGTTTCGTGTGAAAACTTTATTGGGCAGGCTCATGGTGCGGAAATTGGCGTCCATAGTATACAATTGAGTTGTTGGGAATCGGCACGTCTTTGCGCTTTTTTCTCCGGCTTATTTGCTTGGTTTGTAACCAAGAAGTCCAGAAAAATTGGGAAGACTTTTCGGGGAGGAATTTTCTTAGAAGAGCAACACTGGTCATAGAAAATGTATGGCCTTTTGTCCTAAAAAAAAGAGAAACTTGATGTGGTCAACTTTTCATTGCAGATGAATTATGTATTCAAGTCATCGACGATGGTACCGCCGAGCCAGAGGAGGCCAAAGATATTCTCATGGAAAACGCTACGCGGCAAGTGGTCATAGTCAAGAAACCCGACTCGGGATTTGGATTGTCCATAAAAGTGAGCAAAAAAAGAAAATGAATTCGGGAAACGTATATATCCGATTAAGGGAGGATCTGAGAACGCGCAAAATATGCCAATCGTCATTTCGAAAATCTTCAAGGGATTGCCGGGTACGTCAGAATACATCTCGTAGTGAAAATTGATTCTGGAGGAATAGGAGAGCGCCTTATACAAATATTTTCAGCCGACGAGTGTGGAGAGTTGTTTATAGGAGATGCCATCGTAGAAGTTAATGGAGTATCCATCGAAGGTGAGGAGAGAAAAAAAGAAAATACTGGAACGACGGAAAAAGAGTCTCTATCTGTATTAGCCTAATTATAATAGGAGAGTTCCCTGAGGAAAACTTAAAGGAAGAAAAATAGGGTCATTGCATCAGAGACCAGAGAAAGTTCCAGAAGAAATACATCGAATTCATAGGATGTAAAAATAACGGAGCAGGTGGAATAAATCTGATAAATCGGATAAATAAATTCAGCCACCACCAAATAAGGCTAGACATTTTTAGGCCAGAGTCATGATGAAGTGGTAAACATGTTAAAATCGAGTGGCGACCAAGTGACACTGGGTGTACGCCATTTCACCCACATGACGCCGTTTCTAAAGTGAGTTTTTGTTACTAGTAGCACTAAAAGAGCTTTTTCCGCCAACCGAGTTACTTTTCTCTTCCACATATACTGGCAGTTTTTTTTTCGGCATATTTTCCGCTTCCTTTTTGTCGATTTTCGACGGGACGTCTTGTCTTTGGACATGTCTTCGTTGTTGTTGTGAAGACACAAAAAAAAGTATAGAGCTTGAAGATGTTAGAAAAAGAAAAAAGAGGAAAAAGAAGACGAGAAATGCGAAAAAGAAAAAAAAATAGAAAGAAGAAACATGAGAAGAAACAACATAAAACTGATGGATTAGAGTGTGGAAGAGCTTCTGTGTGTCCGAAGCCCGCGCGGAACTCACGCCATCCCTTCTGATGAATGCTTTTCACTGCATTTGAAATTCAAAAATGTGCGGCGCAGTTTGGCACATTGCCAGAGGAGGGACGACAAACAATGTTTTCGAAAAAGGATATAGTTGCATTGGTTCCAGAGAAAGAGAGGGAAAAGAAAAAGAGGAAATTGAGCTAAAAAAACAAACAAGGCTATAATTTCAGACCAGCGCAGTCACTTCAACCAGATGGAACACTTGATCAGCTGTTTGATGGTAGAAGCACTAGAGTTAGTTTTTTGACACTAAACCCAAAAAATCTACAGTAGCGGTCAGTAAGATACATAAATAAAAACATAATTTTCAGTCGATTTTCTGCTATTTCTATCATATTCAGGAGTCTAGAGCTCGGCTGTCAAGTGTCCAATCTCTTTGAAAATATTGGGGGTTATAAAACAGACATAAAATGGAAACTTTGCATTCTCAGAATTTTATGAAAATTCCTAGTTTTTTAGCTATTTGCCAATTTTTGAAAGAAACCCTTATTTTTCTCGTTTTAAACTGAAAAGTGGAAAAAAGTTCTCAAAAATCGGCAAGTAGCTGAAAAGCTAAGAAATTTCAAAAAATTCGGTGAATGCGAAATTTTCAATTTAAGTCTGTTTTATATCCTCCAAAACTTTCAAAGTGATAGGGCACTTGACGCCTCAGATGCTCTCGAAAATGGTCAAACTCCACTAAGAAACACATTTCTATATCTATTATTGACCAGTACCGTATATGAACCAATTAATTTTCAGAGCAACAAAGCCCAGTCCGAATCCAGATTCTCAGATTCCAAATGGCAGCAACATATAGATGGAAGAGAGAAAAAGTGGAAAACATTGACATCCCTACCTTTAGCAATGGCCTATGTCACCAGATACCTTTGGGGAACTGACAATATCAGGTTCGCCCCCGAGTCCCCAGATTTTTATTTCATATATAGGAAGCCAAGAATAAACAAAGCCTTTTCAGAAGCAACTCGTTCGAAGTACGAGCTGTGGATGGAAGGTCTTCCGGAATAGTTCACTGTGAGGATACATTGGCACTTGAGCAGTGGATTGCACACATCAGTAAACACATCTTGTCATTGAACCATAAGAGCATCAAAATGAGCAACAAGTATTTACATCAAAGTGAACAGATCAGCTATATCGGTTGGGTCAATGAATACCTAAACGATGACGATCAAGAAGAGCTAAAAATCCGTTGGCAACCAAGATTTTTAATTCTGAAGGGAAGTGACGTCTGCTTCTTTGATGTTCCACCAGTATGTTTCTGTTCATTGATATTTTAACTTTTGATTAATTCAGCTCAACTCTGAAGACCTTAACAAATGCGTATATCTGTACAAATGCTATGATGTGGCTGTCAAACAAGTGACCTTGAAAAAATATTTACACCTTAATTTCAAATGCATTGGTTTCAGGTCCCTAACAACAGCCCAAGAAGAGACAAAAGAGACAACTGCTTCTTGATAGAGACACCAATACAAGTTCCAAATCACTATTTGTCGTTTGAATCGGCGTCTGGTTTTGAGCTTTTTGAACAAGCCTATTATCGCACTGTCTATAATACAATTTCTCAAATGCAGGTGATTCTGAAAATTACTGGATTCTGAAGAAACAATGGGGTTGTTTTTAGTCTAGAACATTTGCCTGCAATTTTGAAGGACGGCCAAGCGGAATTGTGTTTGATATTAAGCAAGGGATCAGTTTGTACGATATTCCAACCAAGGTGAGTTTAAATACAGTACCGCTCAACAAAATACCCAAAAACAAATCTTTCAGTTGATTTTCAGTCAATTTTACCTTTTTGAGGCGTCTGGAGCTCGGTTGTAAAACTTCGATGACTTTGAAATTTTTGAAGGACGTTTAACAAACCTAAATTGCTTTCACAGTATGTCTAGTAATTTTTGAAAAATTTCCTGAATTCAATGTTTTGAATTTAGGCCTGTTTTACACACACGAAAGTTTTCAAAGTAATTTAGAACTTGACAGCCGAGCTCGAGACTTCTGAAAGTAGTCGATGTGACCAAAAATCAGCTGAAAAACAATTTTTATATATTTTATTGACTAATAGTGTCAATTTCTGGGACTTTTCATATTTTCGAAAAGCAACTTTTAGAGCTACATCTGGCAATACAGATTCCGAGACCTCCAAGCTGTCGCTGACGATGGAAAACTTTGTGTGCAATTGTCGTTTTCCGATGATCGTTCATTGAATGCTGACAGAATCGAAGTGAAAGTATGCGGTTATATTTTGATGCCAATTATGCAAATTCAATTTTCAGGATATTGAATGTGAGGATGTCGTCACTGTGGTCTTCAACTTGCACTCATTCGTTCTGGCTAAAATTGTCTCTACTGATCCGGATTATTTGAAAGCAAACCGATATGTGGGAAGTGCTGAGGACTAATATTTTTTGATACTAAGAGTTGATTTGTATTTTTGTTGACAATATCGATTTCGAATGTGTTTATTTAAAAAGGTCGCATAAACAATATGTTTACAACAAGATATTCCTAATTCTTCCAGAATTATTACTCATAAAATCAAAAATTAGCTACGCCACATGAGTGGAACAAAAAAAGACAGAGTCAACCGGTTTTTGTTTGGAGTGATATCATACTTGTAAAAATACTCAAACAGAGAACTGTAGGAGGAATCAATTAGAAGGCTTGATTTTTTTGGCTTCATATTTATCGAACGGCACCATTCGTTCACGAAGAACTATCCACAAAGCAATCAGAAGGATGTACTGGAATTCAAATTTTAAGTATATAGATCTCACCAAGAATTATAACAGTTTGAAAAGTTTGAAATTAAACTTACTGATATAATTAAAATCAACCATGGAACTGATGGCCCAAATACCGTATAGGTGTAGCTCATGAGAAGTGGTGCAAGCATACGACCAAACGACCCAGCGGTTTGGTACACTCCTTGATACGTTCCCTATAACCAAATTTTATTACGACTTGAACTTTTTTTCAAAATATACCTGTGGTCGTGGTCCAACAACTTTCGAATACAGTGTAGTGACAGTAATATTAATGATAGTGTAGGCTACTCCAAACACCAAAACGTAACCAATGATGTAGACCTGAAAATGAAAAAAAAAATCAAATTTGATCACTTTGATGGCTATTCACGTATTTCGGAACAGTGGGCTGATCGGCACACCAACTATACTTATTCAGATCACAGTCAGCGTTGCTTCCTGAAAAATGTTTGAAATCAATTCCAGCTACAATTTTTCAAAAACTCACCGTTCGCCTGTATTTTCACATACTCACTGTAGAAACTGTATGGATAAGTGGCAATCAACCAAATTAGAGGGATAATCAATGATATCAAGGTGCAAACACGGATTCTGACGCTATAAAGAATCAAAAATTATAAAAAATAAGCAAGAACTTTACTCACTACTCTCGAATTTTCGTGAATATAAAGCAGATGAACATTGTGGCCGCGATAGTTCCAGCAATTGTATGAATTCCAGCATTTATAGTAACGGCTTCTTCTTTTTCATATGAGAACATCATCATGAGAAATGCAGATCCGATACTGAAACATAAAATTCTAATAAAAAAAGCAAAAAAGAAACTGTGTACCTTTCTGTAGTGGTATTCAAAAAGATTTGAAGGAATCGCGTAAAGACACATAATAAAATGGCAATCAAATCAGGACTTGCTAGTTTCTTGGGCTGAAAATAAAAAGAGTAAATAAAAAGATTGAAATATTCAAAACCACAAACTGGAACGAGTGCATGCAAAAATAATTGTATTGCGAAATAACCGGGCCCTTCCGCCTCCAGTCTTTTACAACCACCACACCGATTTCGCCATAGCTGGACATACAAAAACCCCTTTTCTTCTCCGGATATTTTTTGTTTGCAAAACATTGACACTGATTTTTCCTGATGGTCAACACATGAATCCTATTTTGAGGGTAGTGTACGAAAATTACGTTTTTGAATCAGTTTTTTTTGTTAGTATGGTTTCTCATGATTTCATATCTGTAATCTCTCACCTTCTGTTCTCCCTTCTCAAAATCTTCCTTGCTCTCTTTTTCATGTTTAATAATATACTTCTCCTCGAATGCAAACTGAACTATGAGTAGACCAAGTCCGTTGAGCATCAAACAGAACAAAGCGGGCGATGTGTAGATACTGATCGTAAGGCCGAGAATAGTGATTCCATCAGCTCCTAATGGAGCAAACAATAGTTGAAGACCAGGTCCAATCATTGTTCCAAGTGCTATTCCTCCAGATACAAAAGCAATGGCTCGTGATCTATCCTTTAGTGTGGATGCTGTAGCAGCATAGGCTCTCAGCAAGCTCATGTTTCCTAAAACTTAGGGTTTTCAAAATTTTGATCGTTTCTTATAACCTGTTCCTCCGCCAGCCACAAATCTGGCAACCATCATTACATACAAGTGGTGATCGGACCAATATTGGAGACTTAAGTATGTCAAGTTTCCAAAAGCCATAATCACGAATCCAACTAAGAGGGGAAGTCTGACTTGTCCTAGCTTATTACTCCACCATCCAAATCCCACGGAACATATGCATTGTGATACACTGTATAAAGCAACCACAACTCCGAAACTTCCTTGTTTCACGTCGGGTTTAAGCTTAAAAAAGATATTCTTACCCATCATCAATTTTTCAGTTACTTACCGTCAGGATATATGGCCACATGCTAGCGAAGAAAATTGCAAACTGTGTAGCTTGAATAAATGCACAGGCACCAGCCACATAGATTGAGGTCCATGCCGTTCTTTCGCTTGGTGTCTGAAAAATTAAAATTTCAATAAGATCAAAAAACAAATCTCACCGGCAACATTGGTTCAGTAGGTTCAGTAAATGACTGACCGCTGCTCTCTTCTGGCGTTTTGTTTCCATCATTTTTTATCGATTCTCCGCCCATTTTTTTCTGAAAATGTATGCAAATCCGTACTTTTGGAGTGTGATTAGGGCGACTTTTGATGCCAAAAAAAGATGATAGGGAAAAATACACGTCAGATGTGTTTGAGGGTTAAGATCATTTGACTTTTAGTGATGTTTCTGAAAGATGAGACAGATTTACAGAGATTGGAATTGGGTGTATGTGGTTTGAAAGTTTATGTTTTTGGTTGAAGGGAATAAATATGGTATTTTGAAATTCTCGTCAAATATCTATTTTTCCCAGCATGATAAAACGTTTTGAAAATTTTTGAAAATTACTATGACGGAAAAAGGAATAGCAGGTATCGTATGCAGTCGCAAGTATATCTCATTTCCGGTTGAAGATATCGAAAAGTGTTAAACTGAAGAAATTATAATATCAAAAGTATTATGGAGGTGACTACTGTATTGTATTTACTAATAGAACCGAGATAAAATAGCGTGAAGTTGAAAATCAGAAGCGTAATTCTATTAGAGTGTGTACGGCAGGTAGGTGGTACTTTGAAGTAGATTTCATCAGCTGAGTTTAAGTAAAGCTGTTTTCTCTGTTTTTTTCTCTTTCAGGACTAACACATACAGTATCAGATAAAAATTTATTTAGATTTTTTCTATGAAAACTGACAGTTCTGGACTCCTAAAAAGTAGTCCATAATGTTTCGAGTAGCTTTAACAGAATACACAAAACAAAATAAGAGTTTCGTTTTTTAAATGAAAGTTTTTCTAAATGTCCGACATAACGAGAAAAGTGTCGTGGTGCAAATTTCATGTCAATGCTAATTCGAGCACTTTGAGCATTTTTTGGTTACAAAAGGGGTTTTTCAAAACTCTAAATATTCTGGAATATTTGCTTGAGGATTCAAAGTGAAATATTTTTCCACTGAAAATGCTCAAAAAATTTTATAGTTTTTTTCCGAGACTATATCGAAAAAGAATGAATAACCCTCCAGATTTCTAGAACTTTAAAACAGATACTTTTCCACGTGACTCTTTGTCCTCGTACCGTAATACAAGGTTTTCCATTCCTCATACAGACCATGAAGATAAACTAAAACCCTATATTGACATATCTCGTCCTATGATAAATGATGTCAGTGTAATGAGAAAAAACATCCAAAGAGCAGAGCCCAGTGAGTCTTGTTGTGTCCTGTCTTCCATTCAAGTGAATGCGCAAACACGCTTCTCCTGTTCTCATTTTTCACAGTTTAACCAAAAAGCACTTTTCTCTAGTCATTGTTGTCAGAAGAAGTATCACTTTCAGGAGAGTATATGTCCCTTTCGCCCGTCTACCATATAGTGAACAATGAAGGAGAAGAAGATCGTAATTCGCTGACTCATAACTTATAAATAGCGTGGACGCCAATGATACGCAGCAATCAAAGCAGCGGAAACCCTCCTGTTTTCTTTGATTTTTTTTTCGATTCTATCTCTCTGACCGTCTAAAGTCATCGCATTCTACTTCACGGCACGGATCCACATTATCCTATTCCAAATTACGTTGACATTTCGGCTTTAACCTAATCGTTGTACACTTCAATTTATTGTTTTTCATCCTGCCTCCTGTTCTGTCCAAACCTATTCTTGTCATTTCTTTTATATCACCATCCCCAGCGCTCTTCTATTGATAGTCATCTTGTTATTCGCTTCTGACTCATTCTCATCGTTTTCACAGGTTTCAAAATATTTCCTTACACTAAAATTCGCGAACTTTTTTACAGACACTCTATTCAAAACGGCGGAATTCACGGATCCCATTTTCGGAGGCACTTGAGGCTCTCATGAGGGGAATTTTTCTAGTTCTATTTTTTATCATAAGTTTGTCAGATGCTACTAGCTTCCTTCATACCGAAATTGTAGGTGTTAAAAGTTTAAAACTTTTAGATTATTTTCTGGCGAATTTGAAGTCTGAAAAATTACAGGAAGATGATGTGGAGACAGAAATTAGTGATTGGAGCGAAGCAAAAACAGATGGAAAGCTGAGACTAATCACATTTCTAGTTGGTATAGATTCTGCTGTGGTGAGTCCTAGTTTTCCGATTGAACTCGGATTACCGTAAAACTCGTTCTAGAAAGGCCTTGTAATAGAAGGGCATCTCTTATAGAAGAACCCTCCTAGAAGGGTTTGGAAAAGTAGAAGTGTCCGCCAGAAATGTGTTGTTGGAAATAAACAATTTGCGTACGTTTCTAGTTAAAAATATATCGCAAATTCTACAAAATTGTTGGAAATTGTTGAAATATTCATTTCTACTCGAACATTTGCTTTTTGTAAAAGTTTTGTAAAAATTTAGGGATTGTAACGCATTTTAAACGAGAATTCAATATTTTCAATAACAGTTTACCGAACTTTCAAACAAAATTTTCGAAAAAATGAATGGGCCCCTCTGACGTATTGGCCCCTGTAATAGAAGGGCCCTCCAAAAGTGCTTCGGAATAGAAGGAACGGCCGTTCTAATACAGATTTCACGGTATATAAAGCAAATTTTAAAGTAAAATCAAAACTTTCAAATTGATTCAGACAAGATACTACAATTACGACGAGGCCAGAATACGATCCGCTTTGATAGTCCTTATGCACACAGTAAATCAAGTAAGCTAAAAAATATTATAAACTCAATTAAAAACAAAGTTACAGTACTTCTACCCTCTCAACATTCGCCTCTCGATAATAGACATTCTGCCAGTGAAAGGAACAAGTATGGGACTAGACGATTTCACAGCATGGAAAAAAGAGCAAAGGAATTTGATAGAGCACGACGTGACGGTTTTGTTGAGGCATAATTATGAAGGAGGGATCGCCTATTCGAATGGGATGTGTTCAAAGAACAGTTTGATGATTTCCGGGGTGAGTTTTCAAATAAATATTGGATATTTCAAAGAGAAAGATAAAGTCAAATTCAAGAAAAGAGTGTGAGAACTCTGGAATATCTTCCTTGTATATAAAACGCTACACGCGTCTGTTGGTCCCCATGTCAGGCTGTCATCTTTTGAAAAGCTCAAAAATAGTATATAAATTGGCGTGACCCTTCAAGAAAAAAGAAGTGAAAACTAGATTGAATCGCGCCTAAAGCGCACCAGCTAGCTGGTGATTTCAAAACACGAAACTTCTCGAAAAGTCAGACAAAAAGGAAAAAGAATAAAAGTGAAAAAATAAGATATCACTTTTTAAAAGTTTCTGATAATTTTTGATAATGTTTCCGCTCGAGTAACTACAAAATTCATGAAAAAAATTTAGTTAAAAATAATAAATCACTGACATTTTTGTTTACTCGGCTGACAAAATGGCAACAAAGATTGTTTATTTTTTCTCGTTATTATTTGATGTTTGAAAGCTTTGAAAACGTTTGATAAAGGTTAAAAAATATTTAAAAAATTGGAGAAATTTTTAAAAGTATTATTCTTTAGAAACGTGAAAATTTGTCAGTTTTTTCCCGAAGCCACAATAAAAATGACGTTTGTAAGCCTTGAAAACGTTTGAAAAACGTTCAAAATAATTGAAAAATGAGAAAGTTGTATTAAAATGGTTCTTCTATAAACAATGTGGGGAAAAACAAATTTTCAGTTTTTTCCGGAAGCCACGATGAACAACGCGTGGGTTTTCATGCATCAATTGGCTCATGTGATTGGATTAACTCATCATCAAAAATCGAAATGCAAATGCAAATTTGCTAAGGATGGAAAATGCTTAAAACTGCGGTAAGATTTTTACTACGAAACAAAAAGTTCAGTTCGAGCAAAAAACATGCATTGGGGCTCACCGAAACAGAGGGTAAGAGTTGAAGAGACGCAGACAGAGAGAGAGTGAGAGGAAGAAGCTGCTTCAAAGATCTTCCGGAAAGCAAACATAGGGAGCGGCGACAAAGATCAAAACCATTATTCATTGTTTTTCAGCGGTTTCCCCGAATGCAGTGTTCAAGAAATGGTGGATAGATTATCAAATCACACTTGCATACCACCTCAAATAGCAAGCTTCTCATCAAATGCGCTGGTTCCAAAGAAAGGATCACTTCCAGTTTGTGGAAATGGGTTACAGGAAGATGAGGAGGAATGCGATTGTGGTCCGGAGAGGTGAATAAGAAACTTTTCATCAAAAATTGTGAAAAATATGTTTTGATAGAGAAACTCAGCACGAAAATATATCATAAACTATGAGAATTTCCACTATATAGTTTTCGTGTTTTATAATGATTAGCAAGATGATTAATGATTAGAAAGAGGGAATATTGAATTGGTAAAAATATTTTCGAAAAAATCGATTATATATTATTTTAAATAACCATAAGGTCAATGTTCACTTCAGAAAATTTAAACTTTGAAGGGAATTTTTGAGAATGATGACAGAGCACTTTTTATTTGCCCATCTGTTATACTAATTGCATTATCTTATCAGACATCACACCAAATGACATGCGTGCATTGTATCAAGAATTATTTCCAGATTCTGTGACAACATTCTGTGCGATGCGGTCAAATGTCGCTTCATTGTCCAGAAAGCGTATCTCACCAATTTGATTCCCATGGGATTTGCGATCATCGCGTTCATCTTTGTGCTTTTGTTCTGGCAAGTTTTCAAACGTTGACAGAAAAATATTCGGATTTATATTTCAGCAAATATCTTGTAACGCCTGTTTTTGCATCATTGTTCCAGTCGTTGTCATCATTGAGAATAAATACGGAGGTTGGAGATAAAATTGCAGAAAACGAGCAGAATTTGAATGACGTCAATGTCGAGCAGCAGGCGCCAGTAAGAATGAGAGCTCTAAATGAACAAGTAAACCCAGAGGAACATAGGAGGACTCGATTTAGTGACATTTATGTAACAATGCGGCCGATATCTCGGTTTTGGGAAAAGTTTCAAAAACAAAAGGATGGAACCATCGCACCCATGTGACCTTCAGGTTTTTTATGTTCCAGTAATACAGTCATTCCGGTGTTCAGAAAAGTCATTTCTTACGGGTTAGATTTTACATATTTGTAGTTTGATTGTAACCAGATTAATAAAACAATTTATTTTATACCGTGTCTGAAAATCTTATTAGAACTACCCCTTGACATTGATGCGTCAGTGGTGACGCCAAACGCTTTTTCAGCCACTTGAGTCAAAGAATAAAAAACGAAATCTGGCATATAATGGAAAAAAATCGGAAGGAGATGGCAAAAAAGAAAGGAAAAGCTAGAAAAAAAGTTTCATATAAAAACCTGCAAAGCTGTGAAAAGTCAACTGCCAGATGAGATCATACATCGTATATTTATTTATTTCTCTACTCATTCCCATATTTATTCTGAGCTGCCCTAATGAGCCAACAGATTTTCTTATCATTATCAAAGCATCTTATTATTTATCCGATTATCAATGGGAATCGGTAAAAAGTTTACTGGGGAAAATATCTGGAGCGGTGATCTTGGGAAGGACTAACGAGGTGAGCTTTTCTATTTGTATTTAAAGCCAATTGTTTGTATTCTGGGCCTCGCAAATTGGAATTCATTTATTCGACAATTTGAATAATCCTGTACCTGTGATAGGATTAGGTACTTATGGAAGAAGTTCAGATTTGAAAACAGCAGTGAGCAAACTTAAATTGTTACCTTGTGGGACATGGTGTGCTGAACAAACTCAAAAGACTGATGCAGAGGTCCGTTCGTATAATCGGTTTAATCTATAATCTAGAATGCTTCAGCAAATAACATCGATTCTCACAAAACAAGCGTTCACCAGGCCAGCTAAAATTTTCATCATTACCTCTGAATACATTGACAGCTACAGCCTTCATACACTTGTAACCACTTCCAATAATCTTGTTATTCAACAAGTCATGATCCCACAAACGCCGGGTATAGTAACGTACGATGCTCCTTATTACAACTATTATCATGCCTACTATGACACTTATAGAAGGTACTTATTTTTTCAGTTGCACTCTAAATTTTTCCATGTTTTAGATATGCAAATCGCGTTGAACAAATGTATCCATATGTGCATGTTGAGGTTCCTGCGCATCAATATCCTTACATACAGCAGAATGACCGTTACGGCAATTATGACTACAACAGGCGAGTCTTTGATTTATGACTGTTGTAAATCATCTTTTTTATTCAGTTGGGCCAGCAGTACTTGTTATTCTTTGATCGGATGTCAAGAGTGTATGACAGTGACGCCAGCAGTTTTAGAGAACGTGGATTCTTCTTCGGATCATGTCGAGACAACAGAAGATCTGGAAAAGCCTTCTGAAAGTTTGCATTCTGGAGATTCTAAAAATTCTGGAAGTATAATAAATCCAAATCCAGGACAGCTATCCGCAGAACTAGTGACACCTAACATCCTGACTCTCACCACATCACCGACCGAAGATTATGAGTATGAAATCACTGCGGACCCGCCGGGAAGTTAGTAATTTTGTTATTATGTTAAAAACCTGAAATAACTTGTACTTACAGTGAAAATAGACAAGACACCCCTACTGGATGAAGTGAGCGAGAAGTCTGTCAATGACGAAGATTTGATATAAATTAATGTTTTCGTGTTTTTTTCACTTTTTGTTCCGCAATAAAAATGATATCTCTCTGACTTTTGCATCGTCCACCGACCGCCGGGAGTGACACATGTTTCGAAAATCATAAAAAGGCAAATTGGACAGTTGCGCCGCTCGTATCCGCATTGTCGGGAGGACGACGGCCGAGAGGATACCTTCGTCACCCTGACCTATTTTGCTTTTACCTTCTCGATCCTCTCAAGCGGCTTGTAATGACTATGACTTTTTGATTTTCTCGTGGGGATGGTTTTGTTAGATCTGGATTATGATTTTTTGAGTATTGTTTCGGTTTTTTGTTTTTTCAAAAACTCGTTGAAGTATTTTTAAAAGTTCATTCTATTGAAGTGATTCAACTTGAAGCGATTGAATAACAAAGCAATTCAATTTTTGAGAATCAAATAATTGACTCTTTGAAAAAACCTGTTTAAAACTCTTCAAATATTCCTTTTTTTCTGTTTCTCATTACTTTTTTGCCTAATATTTTTTCCGATTATTTCTAACTGACAGTCTTTTTCGTTGTCTCACATATTTACATCCCATTTTTAGTAGAATTGTAGCCTTCAATTATTCTACTTTTCATGTATTAAAGATATCGTACCTTTCAGTCGATGGATGAATACTGTAAAACATGTAATACAAGGACCCCCACACTGTCAAGTTTGAGCTCAATTTTCTTCTTACGCAAGATATCAGAAATGTGCCAACTAATAAAATATTTGTGATGTTATGATAAACAACTCATCAGTTGACAACTTTTATATCTTCAACAGGAGCCAGAACAAATTTGAAGATTAGGGGTCTTTTTTATTACTGGTTTTACGGTAAATGAATGAGAAACTCAAGTCACTAACTTGTTGTTTTTCAACAATTTTATAATTCCAGTAATGTATACCAGTTGGACATGGAAGATATGGAGTACACTTGGTGTGATTCTTCGAATCCTATTCATTGACATTCCTTTGGACATCTACAGATTCCTCAATCTCCAACAAAAAGTTAGTATTACTCCAAAGAACAAATAACAGTTATTTTTCAGAATGTACAAGGTCAGACAGTAGTTATTACTGGTGGTGGATCTGGTTTGGGAAGAGCGATGGCCTTAGATTTCGCTAAGCGAAAAGCAAAAGTTGCAATAATTGACGTGAATAAGGTACTGAACATGAAAAGAAAAACGCCATTTGAAGTTTTCGATTTTTCTTCTTTTTTTCCAGGAAGGCGGATTAGAAACAGTGAAATTTATCGCGGCGGAAGGAAACATGGCAAAGTTCTGGTTTTGTGATATTAGTGATGTGGAGGGCATGAAGAGTACAGCAAAGGAAATTGAAGACACTTTTGGTAATAGGGAGGATAAGGAAAAATTAAAATTTTAAAATTCAGGTGATGCTGATATTGTGATCTGCAATGCAGCTATATTATCATTTACTTCATTTATGGAAATTTCCAATGAACTCCTTAGAAAATGTTTGGATGTCAACATATTCGGAACAATTAATGTAAGATTTAATGGAAATAGAAACCACAATTCCGGTGAATAAGACATATAAAAACTTTTTTCTGTTGATTTTCGGACACTTTCATTTTTTCAGGAAGCGGAAGCTTGGCTGTCAAGTTTCCGATACTTTTAAAAACTTTGCATTCACATAAGTTTCTTGAAAGTTTGTAGTTTTTTGCTACTTGTCAATTACTGAAAAGTGATAGTTTTTTGACGTTTCCAGTACAAAAACGAGTCGAAAATGAGTGTTTTCAAAAAATCAGCGAATAGGTTTAAAAATAGGAACTTTTACAAAGTACTGTGAATTCAAAGTTCTCAATCTGGGTCTGTTTTATACCCTCCAAAGTTTTCAAAGTGATCGGAAACTTGCCAACCAGCCTCCATACTCCCGAATATGATCAAAATGACCGAAAACCAACCGAAAGCAAGTCTTAGAAATTTCCGAAACTGATTTTAGAAGTTTTCCAAAAAAATTGTATGCGCAATTTTTTCAAAAATTTAGACTATCCGCGCGTTCCTTCCAAAAATGGAAAACCGTAACGACGGTCATATTGTATGCGTCTGCTCCATTGCTGGTTGGTCTGGAGAAACCATGGGACTATCTTACTGGTAAAACTTATTATTTCTTGTTTTTTTGCTCAATTGTCGTTTAGCACAAGCAAATTCGCTGTTCGTGGAGCCATGGAATCCCTACAGATGGAGCTTAGAGACCGTGGATTAGAAGGAATCAAGACAACAACGGTTAGGAGAATAGCAACAACTACATAAGCGCAGTTTTTGTTTTACAGCTTTACCCGTATTTTGCCAGAACACCGATGATTCTTGAAAATAACATGAGACCAACTTGTACCTGGTTCCCGTTTATGAGCGTGAGATCTTGTTCGAGAAGAATGGTGGATTCTATTTTGAAGGAGAAGGTCCATGCATTTGTTCCCTCATATATCACACTCATTCCGTTCGTGAAGAAGTGAGTTTCCTTTTATAACCCGTATTCAATTTCCGTTCTACATATTTATGAATTTGTTTTTCCCGATTTCGCAAAGTCTTCTTGATTTCGCAGAATCTTCAAAACAAAATTATGCCTTGTTTTCCATTTATAACTGTTCTCTTACTTTACTATTCTTTGCCAAGAAAAGAGCTGCCCCTACGCTTTTACTCTTTGTTACTGCGTCTCTCTCCTGTTGCTTCTCTCTTCAATTGAGGTCAGCGGGGCCTGTATTGATTCAGACAGTTCCTTTCTTCCCACCTAACGCCTGATCCCCAATTGGATCTTTTCCCAAACGAAAGTAGAAAAGAAAGTACTGTCAAAACGTTTACTCTATTTTTTTCGAGGCTATAGTCTAGCAAACATGTTGATTGACCAATGATAAATTGATAAAATGTAATGTTTCATTTCAGTTTCACCTCACTTCAAGTGACTCGTTCTCTTCGCAACTACTTGGGAGTCAAATATTTAGCTTCGGATCCGTCCTTGTGCAAATTAAGACTTATCGAGATGTCCGACTTCTTCAGATCGCCTCCACTTTTCTGGTGGTTTGTCATTGTTCCAGCTCTGGCAATTAACTACGTGAGTCTTTTATTTTGTGAAAAATGTTACCGCCCAAACTTTTGAATTGTTGTTACAATATTAATAGTCGTTGTATGTAGTCGCACCTCAGCAGGGTCATCCTTGAAAGAGAAACAGCCCAATACAACCATTCCCCGGATGGATATGTTTTGAAAACAATAATTCTTGGCCGTCGCCTGAAATTTCTGGTCGAAGGTTGGTCAGATTCTGGATAAAACCGCAACAAAAGCCGACCAAACTCCGATAATTTTACGACAAGGTTCCGTAAAATTAGACCATCGCCGGTCATATAGCCGTTTTTGGGCAAATTCCGACTGGAACTTGGTCAATATTCGTCATAAAACCAAACCTTCTCTCAACATCTAACCAGAAGTTACAAGTCGACAGCACAGTGTTCTGATAATTTTTGATTCCTCATTTTGAATAGATTATTTGATGTGACATGCTACTTTCGAAGGTTATAATTTTGACTAAATACACAGTTTCATTTCTCATGACAACCCGCGACCCAATATTTCCTATTTTCAGATCAGTTACGCCAATCCAGAAGCCGCTCTTCACATCCCACTCATCGGATCTATTGTCCACACAATTGGCACTCAATTCCATTTTGTCACTCTTCTGACCAATCTTTTCGCACTTGCTGCCCATATCGGTGAAGCTCTTTACGCACTCTACTTGTGCCACAAGGCCAACATCAGGTGATAAACACTAAACTGGTTTTTAATCAGTATTTTCTTTGCAGTTTCGCTTCCACCGCCAAATGGGTCGTGCAAACCTTCATCCTCGGATTCCCATCGCTTTCTATTCTCAGCCGATACAAAGCGAAACAACGAAAAACTAATTGACTACCTGTAGAAATTGTGCCTGAATGTACCTAAATTTTGTTTTTTTTCAAATTTTTCAAATGTTCAATGAACAGCCACTTCTTATCATACACAACACAGAGAAACAAGGTTAAACTCAACGAAACACACCGGTGTGTGCGCGCACAGACAAACAATGTGTATGAGATAGTGTGTCGCGTGAAGAGACGCAGAGATGCGCAAGCGCGCCCCGTCGAACACAAAACAGTATTGGATCTTGCGCGACCCGCGCGTTTTGCGTTGTTTTTTGTTGTTGGGGTCAGTGGTCACTGGTCAGTCAGGCGGACCATCCTCATTATTGGTTTTTTGCGTTCTTTGTCCTCCTCCTCTCCTTCTCTATATGGTTATCCTTTTTGTTCTCCCACTAATCAAACGATCCTTATCCCCTATTGTTTTAGTTTATTTTCGCGCATTTCTACTCCCAGTACATGCATTTTCTCGTGCACCGTTTCACGTGAACTTCAATAAGTTAGGAAAAAACGTGCAGACTGGACTCTGAAGTCTTTTTAGCTGATTCGTGCATTGTAACATTTTGAGGTCTTCTTATTCTTCTTCTTTTTGATTTTTCCCAACTCAAACCTATCTCTTTTCACCGATTTTCTTGCTTTCTCTGCGTGTGTGTGTTCAGAGGACGAATACGTGCAAAAACGCAAGAAATGGACAGAAGAGTGAGTGAGTGGAGCGGTCTCGGCAACTGCGCTTTGGAGGTCCATCAGAAAAATAGTGGAGAGATAGAGACAACTTTTGTGAATATCTTGTTGCCGAGAAGAGAGAAGGGCACCGCTTTTCTTGTGCTCTTCTTTCCAGGGCTATTTTGCTTCGTTGCTCAATGGCCATTTGCTGACATGTTTTTGCAATACTTATGCTTAGTTTGCCAGTTTTTTTAAAGTTCAAGTTCACTGTCAGAATCGATTACTAACACAAGTTCAACAGCCTCATCGATGTTTATCAATGCGTTGACCGCATCAACTAGCGACCGTGCATCTCTTATCATTCTCGTTGAGAAGAAAACTGTTTTTTTCTCCAATCTCCCTTGCTTCCTTCGTGTTTACCGTTGGTTTCTTTGATCGTATAACACTGTCTTACAGATAGAACCATGCTCCGTGCGGCCTCAAACTTCCGTGCCGTAGCCAACCGCGAATTTGCTTGTGCTAAACGACAATTGAGCAAAACAACAAGAAAGAATGCCACCGCAGCTGCCACCAGACCAGGAGTGTAAGTGATTTGTTCATAAGTGCTGGAAGATAAATATTCATAATTTCAGCCCACGGGATGAACGTGAAGGAAAAGAGATCTACACAACCGTCGGAATCGATCACAATGAGCCAAAGTTCGACAAGATTCTCATCGCAAACAGAGGTAGGCATCTAGTAGGAATAGTTTGTGGAGTTAGTCTTCTACTTTTTCAGGAGAAATTGCGTGCCGTGTGATCAAGACAGCTAAGGCTATGGGAATCAAGACCGTCGCTGTGCACTCTGATGTCGACAGTAACTCCCTCCACGTCAAAATGGCCGATGAGGCGATCTGCGTAGGAGAGGCTCCAACGGCCAAGTCCTACCTTCGTGTCGACCGTATTCTTCAAGCCGTCGAGGATACCGGAGCTCAAGCGGTAAGAATCAGAGACATTTTCCTGTCGACGGGATTTTTGAAAAATATTTTCATTTGCTTTGAGGAAAGATAGAAAAAACGTAGAGATAGCCTAGAATCTTCAAATTAAAACTAAGAGGTTATGTGTAGTCGAAAAACCCTCTGAATGAATGCCACAGTTCGTTTCTGAGAAAAAAGAAAAACTTATTTTCTCAGTATGGTTGACCATTTCTCCAGCAAGCTTTTCTATCCCTTTTCTCGACGGGTTCGATGAAATTTATCTGGATCTTTCACTTCTTTTGCGAACTTTTTTGTTGATAAAGTCCTGTTGGAGTAGGCTCTGATTCCAAACATCTAAAATTTACTGTGAGGCAAACGGATTTGCTTTGAATAACTAGAAATTTTCAAGTAATCTTCCTAATTTAGTCATCGTGCGAAAATTTGAAATACGAAATACGAAACTAGAAACAAATGTTTTTGATACTTTCCCGAGAACCCAAGTCACACGAAACAATATGTCAAACTTATATAGCCGTTCAAGGCTGCCAAATACAGAACTAAGCTCATTCTCAAATTTATGACCTAATTTAGACGATATTTATTCCAAGAGATGCCCGAAACCATTTCTCTCCTAAACAATTTTTGGAGCGTGCACGTGATATTCACATATTCGCACTACGAAACGCAGAAAATAACAAAACAAATTGAGTGAAACTGCTGATGACACTTGCGTCTCCTAATCGTAGTTATGTCTCATTTGCTGTCCTTTTTTTTTTGAGAAATCGAATGATGAGAGATAGAAGCGTTTCTCATAACATGATCGACTAGCCGGTGCAAGATTGAAAGTTCAATTATGTTTTCTTACAGGTTCACCCAGGATATGGATTCCTTTCGGAGAACACCAAGTTTGCCGCCGAGCTCGAGAAGGCTGGAGCCAAGTTCATTGGACCAAACTCCAAGGCTATTCTTGATATGGGAGACAAGATTCACTCCAAGAAGATTGCCACCGCTGCTCGTGTAAGCATGATTCCAGGATACGACGGTGAAATCCCTGAGGAGGATTTCTGTGTCAAGGTGTCACGCGAAATCGGATACCCAGTCATGATCAAGGCTTCCGCCGGAGGTGGTGGAAAGGGAATGCGTGTTGCCTGGAACGACAAACAAGCTCGTGAGGGATACAGACTCTCCAAACAGGAGGCTGCTTCCTCATTCGGAGATGACCGTATGCTTGTTGAGAAGTTCATTGACAACCCAAGACACATTGAGATGCAAATCCTTTGCGACAAACACGGAAACGCTCTCTGGCTCAACGAGCGTGAATGCTCAATCCAAAGAAGAAACCAGAAGGTTATCGAGGAGGCTCCTTCCAGCTTTGTTCCACCAGAGATGAGACGCAAGATGGGAGAGCAAGCCGTTCAGCTCGCCAAGGCTGTCGGATACGACTCCGCCGGTACTGTCGAGTTCCTTGTCGACTCACAGAGAAACTTCTACTTCTTGGAGATGAACACTCGTCTTCAGGTAATTTCTATCCAGTTCAAAACATCAAATGTAAATGTTTCTTACAGGTCGAGCATCCAATCACCGAATGCATCACCGGAATCGACATTGTTCAACAGATGCTTCGCGTTGCCTACGGACACTCGCTCCCACTCACCCAAGAACAAGTTCCACTCAACGGATGGGCTTTCGAGTCACGTGTCTACGCTGAGGATCCATACAAGGGATTCGGTCTTCCATCTGTTGGACGTCTGTCCAAATATGTTGAGCCACGTCACGTAGATGGAGTCCGTTGCGATTCCGGAATTCGTGAGGGATCTGAAATCTCCATCTACTACGATCCACTCATTTGCAAGGTAAGCTGGGCCGAAGAGCTATTTTGGAATTTCATTAATCAAGGCTCTAGCGACAATCAGCAGGAAAATAATGCAAAAAACAGTTGGCAGTGTATAAAATTCATAGCGCACCGCTCATAAGACCAAGTTGAAGTTAAGCACTGCCCTATTAGCGAGGCTAAAGCCATGGAAGCTCTTCAAACCGGCTACATTGTACTTATAGAAATCAATATTATTTATAGAAATGCGCCAGTAAAAAGCTAGGGAGTGTGATCACAGTTACAGATAAATCCTTAGTTAATAAAAAACTACCATGACTTTTATAAATAGCCATTACATGTTCAACACAGAAATGATGAATTAATCTTACAAACATGTCTTATTTTTCAGCTCGTCACCCACGGAGACAACCGCCAGCAGGCTCTCGATCGCATGCAAGAAGCTCTCGACAACTATGTCATTCGCGGAGTAACACACAACATCCCACTCCTCCGTGACATTGTCCAAGAGAAGAGATTCCGTAGCGGAGACATCACCACTAAGTACCTCCCAGAAGTGTACCCAGAAGGATTCCAAGGAACCGTTTTGACGCATGCTGAGGAAAAGACCGTCATCGCATTTGCCGCGGCTCTCAACGCTCGCAAACTCGCTCGTGCCAATCAGTTCCTCAACCAAAACAGACAACGCAGCACTCATGTGGCTTCATTCTCGAAGACCTACAAATTCGTCTCTTCCCTTCCAGCCAAGGAAGGACAACGTCCAACTGAGCACGCTGTCGAAGTCTCGTTCGTTGATGGAGATGCCAACAAAGCCAAGGTTTCGATCGGAGGAAAGGTCATTGACATTTCTGGAAACTTGAGCCTCTCGCTCCCAGTCAACTCGATCGAGGTCAACGGAGAGCACATCACCACCCAGATTGTTGGAAAGCGCGCCGGAGAGATCACTGTTCTCTACAAGGGAACTCCATTCAAGGTGCAGGTTCTTCCAGAACAAGCCGTCAAGTACTTGCAGTACATGAAGGAGAAGGCCAAGGTTGACTTGTCCACTGTCGTCCTCTCCCCAATGCCAGGAGCCATCAAGAACGTTAATGTTAAGGTGAGTTGATTAAATTTCATTTTGAAAAACTTGGTAATCAAAATTTAAAAATTTCAGCCAGGAGACATGGTTTCCGAAGGACAAGAACTTGTCGTCATGGAGGCCATGAAGATGCAAAACAGTCTTCACGCCGGAAAGACTGGACGCGTCAAGGCCGTCAACGTCAAGGTCGGAGCCACCGTCGACGAGGGAGAGGTGCTTGTGGAGCTTGAGTAGATCCCAATGTCAAAGTCACAGAATCACTTGTTTTCTATTTCAAGGAATTTTTTTGTCGTTTTTGTACAATTTTTTAAGCCACTCTCATCTGGTATAGAGACTGATAAGTTCACTCGCATTTTTTCTACCCGTAAAGCCATATTTATGATATAATTATGCCATAAACCCTTCCCTCTCAAACTGTTGTATTCCATTTAAAAAACACGGACCTATTTTCACAACTACCCCTGTTTTATTTCATCTCAAGTATTACAAGCCCGTAGAAAATAAATTTTTGTAGAAGTAACCATTGGAAGAGTAAAAATAACAAAGTGATGGAAAAAATAAGATAGTTCGTGTCTTTTTTCGTTTCATGACGGAGCACCAAAGAAAAAAAGATATCTTCTGTCGTTTTCCCTTTTTGTGAAAAAGAGAAATTTTTCCTTTTTTTTCTTTTCAGTGATTTGAATATTACTGAAAAATTGGCTTATTTTTCTCTTTGCTATTCAAATGTCAATAGCAAGTTAGGTTTGCTAAAAAATGCTCTGAAAGACAAGGGATTTTCAAAAAATTCTATGAATGCGAAGTTTTCAATCTAGGTCTGTTTTGCACCCTCTAAGCCTTTCAAACTGATTGAACACCTGACAGCCGAGCTCTAGATTCCTGAAAATGGTTCAAATCAACTGAAAATCGTTTTCATATATTTATGGTTTGCATTGTCGCTTTTTCTTTTTTCTAACGACCACATTTATCCATTTTGGTTCCTCCTTAATTCGATATTTGCCCCAAAAAACTTGTTCCTTTTTTTTACATCGCTTCTTGTCTAGCTTCTCCATATTCTATCCTCGTCCTGTCCTACAGATCTTAGCTCTCTGCGCGTCGTTGAAGACATAGAAGACCAAAAATAGACGAAATGTTCTGATGTTCTTCATTTTCCATCGGTGCGCACTTTTCGTCTGTGATCTCATCAACGTCTGTGATCTCATCTCTTTATCCTATCTAGTTGCAATGGTGGATGGAACAGTCTCATTTCATTATTCTGAAGAAAAATTGGCCAAAAAAAGACAAATTGAGAAGATGAAACAGAAAATGAGGGTTGAAGGAGGAGAAGACGACTATGGATGGGAGAAGAAGAGATAAAAAAGAAGAACAAAACGTTTTGTCCCGCCATCTCTTCTTCCAGTTTCTTTTCCTTTTCCCATTTTCCATCTTTTTTCGACAATCCTCCACTCCCCCCTATTTTCACTCATCTTTTTCCTTTCGTTCTTAAGTAATGCCTCCTTGAGACATTTGTTCTGTTTTGGAACCGTTTATCTCGCTTCTATTTGATGCAGTATCATATTTTATCAAATTCCAAGGTTGCCATGTCTACCGCCCAAAAATAAACGGTCAACCAACAGCCTAGGGAAGAAACTAGAGAAGAAGAAGAAATTTCCAGCGAGAGTGAAGACGAGTAAATTGAAGACGATGAGGAAGATGAGGATTACTGTACTGCCTGTCTGGAATATCTGATTGAACGTAGAACTCCTCCATCATGCAGGCATGGATACTGTATTCAATGTTTCTATCGTGAGTTAAGAAAAGATAAGACACACCCTGTTTCACACAAATGATAACACCAATCAGGGAACGCTAATTTTTCAAAACTGGTTTCCTAGATTACTGTAGTTGGTGTTTTACCACTTTTCTCTTAATTCTCTATTATTCTTTTTCAGTTCTCATCTCCCGATGCAACGCCCCTATCTACGAGATTGAAAGAGTGTTCAAAGATTTGCGGAGTCGAGTGAATATTGAAGCTAATAAGAAACAACCAAGACCTACTTAGTTCAACTTGGTCAATAAATATCTCTTTTTTCAAATTGTGGTCTTAAGAAGAAAATAGAACTAATCAACGCAAACCTGAGTGAATGAGCTGAAAAAAACTTTTCGCGAGTACTTAGAAAAACAAGAGAAACTCTGAAAACTAATATCAAGAAAATTAATAAACTCACTTCGGATAGTTTTTTTGACATTCACAAATCTCGAAGTGGTGGAAATTGAATTCTGAGCGACCTCTTTTGAGCACGATTGTTTCTGGAATTCGTTGAGTTTGTCGTGTTTCTTGGTCTTCCTGATTTTAAGTTGGCAGGTGAGTTACTGTATGTGTTCTAATGAAACCCACCCTATACGCTCACTTTGAGCTCAATTATTTCAGCTCGTTCACAAAATATCAAAAAATTGTTCATAAATTATTTGTCATGATCATAAATATTTCATCAGTTAACAGATTTTTCGTATCTATCTTAAGAACCGAGATAGTTGAGCTCAAAATGCATGTTTGAGGTGGGCTTCAATTAAAGCAAATACGGTTTCTTTAAAAAACTCGAGAATCATCAGAATTTTATGCAGAATCTAGTTCAGTTTCTTGATTTTCTGCTCATTCAAAAAATTTAGAAACACCGAGGAAATTTATATCAATAGAAACACATTTATTAATAGAAACACAAACATCAATTAATCACAAACAGTTGTTCAAAAAATTGTCAACTAACAAAATATTGATGGCTTCTTAAAGGAGGGCAGACAACAAAAATTTCGGGGAAAATTTCAGGGAATGTGTATTTTGCCGTCGCGGTGTTCGCACCTAAAGCACGCAATCCCACGCGCAAACATTTTCATTTTTTTATTTCCCGACTTTATTTTTTTCAATTTTTAACGACTTCAAACATTAAAAAAGCTCTTTTTTCTTATTTATTATAAAACCCATATAAAAGTGAATTTTTTATGTAAATTTAAAGTTCTATCGACCGATTATTTTGCCAGTCGCCGGTGTTTTTTATAGGCATGCGAAAAAAACTATTTTCTCTTCGATAACCGTTTCTTCACTGTTCCTATTTATCTCATTACTTCTCGTTATTACTCTAGGAATAAAAACTGTTTTATGACTAGGGTTTTCAGAGACGTCTCCATTTTTACTGCTTCCTCCACCTTCCGACGACCAGCCCTGCACGAAGATTGTTTTAATTATGTGGTTTTTTTTTTCAATTGTTATGTCTCTTTCTAAAAATTAATTGTAGTTTTTTTCATAATTTATTTGTTAACATAATAAAACAAGTTTCTTCATTTTCAACTGATTTTGGTACCTCGGAGCGAGGCCTCGGCGGCACGCTGGTAGCCCTTCAGAACTCCGAGTTCAAAAAGTTCAATCCGAAGGAAACAAGGGAAGAAAAAAGTAAAAACACCAGCAGGGATTGAACCTCTGACCTCCTGAATACTAGCCTAGAGCGTACCCACTATACTACGCGTGTAGAGGCGACCATCGCGTTTTTCACATTATGAAGCGACGCCGCAGCAGCAAGCTAGTGAAGAAATTAGGGTGACAAAAAAGAGCATTTTTTCGTCCTTGAAGTGTTTTTTTCAGGTTTTTAAGTACATAGCTATATTTATACTTCAGAGTTATATCTTTTGAGTAAAAATGAAATTTTTGAAATTTTTGATGTCTACCCTCCTTTAATTTAATGAAACCTAAAACAAAACTTCTTCATTTAATAAAACCTTTTATGGCGTTCCAGTTGGAGAAGCATATCTAGTGTTTTCAAGAATCTTAAATTAACGTTTGAAAAAATTCTGAAGTTATTTTTTGAGCTTTTTCTGTGACGAAATTTGTAAGTTGTAGTCGGTGTAGTCGGCTTCGTAAGTTTTTGAAATAATGTACTAGAATAGTTGAGATATCACTTTTTGAATACAAGTTTTTGTTTATTTTGTAGCGTTCACCACAAAACGACGTATTCTTATAAAACTTTATTACTTTCATATAGGAATCTGCACCACACATTTAAATTGACAGCGTGACAACCTATTAAAGTAGCACTGTGGATATTCCAAAAGGACTACAAAACTATGATTGAAAAGTTTGTTATTATAAATCTCCGCCCGAACGACTGCACTCGCCAGCACGATGGAACTTCTGTGCCAGCTAACACGAGTCTTGCTCATTTTGTACTTTTATGAATCAGAACAACTGGATTCCAGTGCTCTGTGAACGTCTGTTCCAGTACAATTGTTCAGTACTACTAGTCAGAAACACTCAACTATTTGTAAGGATCTAGGTAGTTTTTAGAGTATAGGGCGGTACCAACACATGGTACCTATGGCACGGGGTGTTCTATATAAGGTGAGATGTTCGCCTCGATGGCATCACCTATTGTTTTTATTTTCGTTCCAGACTTCTTTTTCAAGTTCTCATATTTTGCAATAGTATCCCTTTCATACTGAATATTTTTAGGGCGAGTTCTCTCTTTTGACTGTCTGGTCAGCGGATAATCCACTTGAAAATTCAGCTGTGGTCTGGGGACAGCTGAAAACAAGCGTAAATTGTGGTCGAAACGCCTAGAGAGTCTCGCGGAAGAAGGGAATGCGTTGAAATTTGGCGTCTCAATTTAATAAACATTGATTATTGCACAACTGCTCCTCTCTCGTCTTCGCCTCTATTTTCTGCCATTCAATTCTCACCACCAACGGAATGAATGCCAATAGAAGTCAATTTGTGCTCGCTGAACACAAGGAGGTCTTGCGCGCGGCATCACGCGGATAGATTCGCTTCAGGGCATGACTATTGCGCAACGTCCTGAAATTGAAGATGAGGGTCCCAATGGGAAATAGTATCTTGTGGTGAAGAGAACATCTCTTTGCGCGGTCTCTCGCATTTTTATTAATTGCCTGAAAGAGAGTTTCATGCGCGGAATATCGCATTTCAAATCTTTGTCGCAAGTTATAACGCAATGAATGCAGTGGTAATAACTTGGAAGATGGATATTTGGGCTCATGGGATTTCTATTGACCAAAAGGATATCTGAAGTTTGTAACGAGAAAGCTTGCGGGTACCCAAAAGTTTGCAATTATTCAATAAAATCTAAAAATATAGGCTCTCAGATGTTCGTCTCATATCGACGAACGGATGTGCTCATGATGTTTTCGCTATACGAATTTGCTCCTTTTTGTTGTGCTCCTCGAGGTCCATCGGTCAACGTGAGGTGAATAAG